TGAATGGAAAAGACACAAATATTTTTATTTTACCACACGAACATGACAAAAATGTTACCATAAAGAGTAATAGTTCCAAACATCTGCAGCCATATAACATATGTTAAAGTGGTTGCTTTTTTTTGGTGTAACCTTTACAACAATGTCAAACTGGTGAAAATCAAATAAGAATTGAAGAGGATATCAGTATTTGAAAGCTGACAATCCTCTGTACTCTAAGAAGAAATCAGTCATTTAAATTATTCCTTAACACCAAAGAAACAGTCAGTATGAGTCTTTAGATATTCAGATACTCCAGATACTATGTCACACCGGGACACAGAATCCAGTCGATGAACAGGCGCCCCTTATTTTTGAGCCTGATGCCTCATCGGAGGAGGACAATGAGGGGAAATATGGATTTAGTGGGAATTACAAGGAGACAGTAATGATATGGTGACTAGACATCTACAGACTTTAACAATGGTAGGGGATAAAAGTGGTCCATATTCAGTGACTCAATTAAGCTTTTAAACCCGATGGAGCCCTATACGGCTCAGCTGACATACAGCGTGTGCATCATGAACTATTTATAGATTCTATTGTAGCCTTGCCAGCTATCTGTTGGAAATAATAATCATGATAACATGTATTAACCAACCTACTGTAGACCTACATGCTTTAGACCCCACAGAGCAAGAATAACTGAAAATAATATTCAACAATAAGATACAGCAGGTGGGGCTGCTCATTGGCGCAGACCCGCCCAGAACCTTCTTGCCTTGCAGCAAGTTCGATTCCCTGCCCAGGGTCTTTCTGCATGGAGTATAATGTTCTCCCTGAGCATGCATGGGTCTTCTCTGTGTACTTCTCTAAATTGTCCTTAGGTGTGAGTGTGAGTGAATGGTAGTTTGTCCTGTTTGTCTCTACGTCGCCCTGCGAAGGACTGGCGACCTGTCCAGGGTGTACCCTGCCTCTCACCCGTAGACAGCTGGAGATAGGCACCAGCACCGCTTGCGTGTAAAGAAGATGGATGGATGGTACAGCAGGACTGCACTGACTGCAATTTACAGAGAGCTTCTTCAACACAGCGTGAGCAGTTTCCCATCAGTATAAAATGTTTTCAATTCTGTCGCAGTGCCCCACATATTGCAACAATAACCTAGATATGACTGGGTCAGATTATGAAATTTTTTTGTTAAAAAAGAAGTATAAAGAAACAGCCGGTGCTACTACAAAGCAAAGCGGTTTAATTAGGTAGGCTACTTGATGAGGCAGATAGAGGTGATTCTCACTGAGAGTTGAGAAGTTTAATTTCATAAAGAGGGAAGAGCAATAAACTGCTTTTTGGCCAACACATTTCAAAACGCTGCTTTAAGCCATGTTCTGTATTAAATTAAAAAATTTTCTGTCTCAACATTTATTAAAACTTTTCTCTAGAATTTGAAGTGTAAAATGTACTGTATGAAAACTCAGACAGGAATACAAAGCTTACAGGTTCTTTGGAACACAGTTGGTGATTTGTGATACCTAGTTTTATATTATTAAAAAGATGAAAAGGAGCGGTCTTTGTTATTAGGAATGAAAAAACAATGTGTTTTGTCTCTTTATGTTGCTTGGATATAATACAGCATTTTCAAGGTTTTTGGATAAAAGAAGGCAAAAATTATTTTAGCTGAAAAAGGTGGAAAGATGTTCAACTTAGTCAGTGGTCCATTTAAACAAAACACAATGCAGCCAAATCCTATCAGTCTCTTCAGCGGCGCAGCAGCTCACTCTGTAATTATTTGACCAACACTGTGCAGAAAGGTCACATTCCAGAAGCTCTGTTCGGCCCACCTCTTGTAACATAGCCAAATGTTGCAAGGGATATCAGGGATAACAGTGAACATGGCTATATTTTATGGTTCGAATAAAACTGCTATTAAAAGCAATTAGCTTAGAGATAAATAAAAGATTTAAAACCTGTCCATGTCGTCATACATTTGACCTCTGTCTTACTTAAAATGCATTTTTTAAATTTAACAAATATATCCTCTGTTATTTAAACCTGCATCAGGTGTCATAATCTTGACACTGATGACTAGATTATCGGTTTATTCTATCCACCTGCCTAGCTCCGCAATGGTTTCATTACCTTTCATCAGATCCACCTGTTCCACTTCCCTTTTAAACCGTTTGGTCCCAGCCATCAGTGCCAGATTATTCGAGCCGTAGGTGAGAATTCTCTAGTGTACACAGTTTGTCATTCTGATTGCCTGATCCTGACTAGTTTTTGTTCCCCGACCTCTGAGCCTGCCTGCCACTGTTTTGATCTGTTTGCATGACCTGTCTTCGGACTCCTGCTGGATTCTGCCCACTAACGACCTTGGAACTGTTTCCTGGCCCTGGCTTGGATTTCCCTATGGTAACTCTTTGGATCTCTGATCTTCTGTCCTGGAGATTTGCTTCCTCATCGACACCAGCTTTGGCTTCTCCTTCCTGGAACTCCTGCTCTTCCTCGTCTGCTTGCTTTTGCCAGTCTGTCGTCTCTGCAGCCCCTTTGGCTTCGGCTCCTGGAACTCTCTGGGCGGCGTCCACCTCGTGCTGTGCATTTTCCCTCTACAGAGATTCCAGCCATCTAGTCCTAGCTGCTCAGTCTCAAACTTTCTTGCAGTTAAATGCTTTTATAAATCACTTCAGTCTGTCTGTCTTAATTTTTGGTCCAACTTTCTGATCCCTGACATCAGGATATTACAGGTTCCCTTTTAAAAAGTATTATTGTTATCTAGAGGTGCCATGCTGCTAGTTGTTGAGACAAAATCAGAAGATACTGGGCTCATGAGAAGATAATATCATTAATATCAATGTTATTTTAACTTAAAAATCATCAAATGCAGCTTAGAATTATAAAAGAAAAATGTCAAATGGATCATTACTTTAGTTCAGCTGAATATTAGAGTTCTTCATTGCTTGTACAACCAAGTACTGCTCACAAGCATGATCAGAAATCATTTTTACTCTGCCAATACAATGAAATGACACATGTATGACTTCGTGTCTTATTCTAAAAGAACAAGAGTAAGAGGCGTTTGTGATACAAAGCTTTTGCTTAAATTTGATTGCAGTTTATTGCTCTATGATTGTTCTGCTCTTTATTCATAGTTAATCACTTCCTGAAAGTCCTCAACATCTTATCCACCATTTTGATCACTCAATAAGACTTTAGTTCCAAAGGTCAGTGGTTCAAAACCCTTTCAAAGTGCCTAACAGAAGAGGCATTTGAGTTAAGAAATACAGCTGTAATCAAGTGTATGCCTTTCAAAGAATATCAGTATGTGTGATTATTGAAGACATCAAAGGGCAGATTATAACTGACCACTATATCCATGGTAGGTACATTAATCTGTCAATCCCACAGTGCATTTAGGTTGCTAGGATCTTAAAAATTCAGTGCAGGGTGCAAACTCTCATACTCTGCACTGTTGACCTACTGAAAAATGTCTTTCTGTTTGACTTTGAGCCAAGCCAGGACTGACAAAATCACCAGTTTCTTGTAGCAACTGTAAAGAACCTTCTCTGGTTGTTGGACTGGTTGTTACTTCATGTATGCTTCGACGCATTTACAATCCCCATGTGAAAAACCACTTAATGCTCCAGAGCTTTAACTTGATATATGGCTGGACTATTTCCATCACAGGTCGGTCAAGGAGGAGAGGATGTTGCATGGTAGACTGCATACTACAGAAAGAAAGAATGGAAAATCTTACTTCTCAGCATGAGTGTTCTTCTCATTATTGCTCTCATGACTGCATCAAATTCATATTTTAAGCTTTCTTTGGCAAACAGAAAACAACTTTGCTCCCTTCTGCCCTGACAGGAGAGAGCCAAAGCACCAGTTTGGCAGATGTCACTCGTAACTTCAGCTGCAACCACAATGTGTTCTTCATCTAAGAGGACGACGTTTATAGGTTTCCAAAATCACTCTGCACTTTCCAGTCCTCCAGCAACCAAAGTAACCATCTAATAGAAATGTGGGGAGCAACTGACATTTCAGTTTTTCCTTGGTTGTAACCTTCCAACCACCTTCCCCCCCTCTGTCATTAACTGTTTAGACTGATGATTTTAATTCCAGAAAAAATGTCACCTCTGTCCTCTTCTAAAGTTCAAACCATAGAAGGCAGAACAGAAAATAAATCTCTTTTAATTTACATGTTTTATGTATTTATTACAGGATTAAAAAAAATGTTGTGCTTGTCAATAAAAAACTCAGTCTAAAAAAAACTATTCCTTCAGACTCAATCAATGCATTTTTTTTATCATGCAAGTTTGGGTAAAATAAGGGATCAGGTCCTGGAAGGAAACCCAACACATCTGTCTGCCCCAGAATAATCTCATGTTTATTCAAAGGGTTTCCAAACTTTTCCAGACCAATAGTGAGATTAAGGCCCCTCGTCAATTTATGGATCTTCCCTGGGATTTGCTCTCAAAGGAAAATATCTTGTAAAAAGTACCCAGAATGCCTAAACCATCTCTACTGGTCCTTTTTCTAGCAGATTAAGTACTAACTCCAGCTCCAATGTTAGAGGTTGAGCTTAGCCATATGAAGGAACCTTATTTCTGACGCTTTAGCGTCAACAATCTTGTTCTGTTGTTCTCTTGTGAACTCTAGGTTTGATCGTCCTCCAGTTCAAATCCAAAAACAATCTTTGACCATTGGTTCAAGTATACTTAAATAACTTTTTCTTTGAATATGTTGCTCATTTTGTACTGCCCAAGCCTCGCACGGATATATAACGAAATATTAACAGATCATGGTGATGGTTCTTGTCACTCCATGTCACTATCATTGTCCACTTGGTTAATAAAGTTCAAGAGGAGAACAACAGAATCGAAGGCCCCATCTCGAGACTCCAAAAAGCCTCTAACCTGCAAGTCAGAACCTTACCTCTTACACCTTACAAAGGGCAACATCAGATCCTAAATTAGGTTCCAGAAAGATTTCAAACATGATACTTTCTGGTAGAGTAGAGGTTTCATACCTGATTATGCTGAGTGTGAGCTGCTGAGTGCACGTTTTGATCTTGTTCTGAGCCTCCATGTGCGTCATGTGCTCAGTGCTGTCCCCATTGATAGCCAGAATGGTGTCACCCGGGTACAAGTCACCTTGGGCTGCCTTGCTGCCAGGTGTTACCTAAAATGGACATTGCACAAACAAACAAAATCAGATTAATTAGCCGGCACAAGCAGACCATCACTCGGAGCAATAGCAACAAGCAAAGAAACCAATTTCAACATTTCATTCAAATGCAGAAAATGACAGACAGTAGGATAAAGTTTAGCCGCAAATTTAAAAAACATTTGGAGCCACTAATGTCTAAACATTTTTACAAAATTAAGAGATTAAAACCTTGATGTAAACTCAACTAAAATTAGTTGATTCTTGTACTTAAACGTGTTATTTAAGGTCATTTTGAAAATATATTTATAATTTAGTTATTAATTTATTATTATAACTCAAATTGCTTTATAGTTTATATTAAGAAAGATCTTTGCTTGAAACAAGAGATTTTTTTTTCTGAAGCAGTACTGTAGTCACATATTTGACACTTAGTCCAATACAACAAAGGGGCATTATAAGTTGTTATTAGTTGTCCAAATGTCAACACTCTGCACAAAGAGTGACCAACTGAGTTCCGTAAAAAGAAATTACTTTGAGATTAGGAGAGTCAGCACAGATAAAATGTAACCCAAACAGCTCTATTTCTTTAGATGTTGTTTTGCCTTTGCAAGTGCAGACAATCTGATATTTCTATAAACAAACAAAGCTCAGATAATGTTTTATCCATTTTTATTCAATTAACTAACCTGTTATTTTTAAATCAATACCAAAGCCACAACCATGGGTTATGCTGTGATCAACCACACAATTGGTTAACAACAATTAATCAAAATTGGTAAGAATCATCAGCGAAAGAATTTTATAAAGTAGTCTTCTTAAAAAAAAATCCTGCTCACTCAGTCTCTGTGATCTATCTTATGGTATACTGCATTTCCATATTGCTCTAATTTAGCAGATCGTCTTTAAGCAGTTCATCGAAGCAAATCTGAGGATATTAGAGGCATCCAAGGAGGAGGAGGAGTGAGAATAATAAAATGGAGGGTCAATGGACCAGTTGTGATGCACCGATCCGATACCTGTATCAGATATCAGTGATTTCATATTAGATATCCTATCCAGTGAACTTTACATGAATCTGTTATTTCTTTCACTTTGCTCCTTATTTATTAATACATTTTATATCTGTGTTCATTTGTTAACTTTTTTAACAATTTTTATGTCAAGGCTAAAACCTTCACCCACATGGCGTGATATATGCTTCGTTCCTTCAACAACTGAAGTGAATCAGTATCAAATATTGGGTGATCTGTTTAGCCCAGGTATAAGTATTGGATTGGATTGGAATAAACTGGATCAGTGCATCTCTATGGACATTTGGGTGTGTTTTATATCTTTGGATACACACCAAGTGACATATAAGATAAATTTGCATGATTAAAAATATGCACAGATGTCGCCTATAAACCCAAGTCATTCAGTGGCTAACCCAAATGATAAATTAGCACTAAAGGTCAAATTAGAATGCCACGTTAGCTGTGGGAGAAAAGTTGGGGTTAGAATTAGCCTGGTCCGCTACCTTTCTTCCACAGAACTACAACGGCTATGATTTAAACTTAAGGGCCTCAGTAGATAAAGAAAAGTCAAATCTATTCAAAGGGAGTGAATCCTGCAAGTGAATGAATCAATGTAAATTTCTTGGTTTCCTTAGTATACCCTTCATGACCAATTTGTCTCCATAATTGAATTGAATCGACTCTCTAAAATTACTTTATATCTTTGTGCTGTGAATTGGCATATTTATAAATACAAGTTATAATAAAACCTAAATCCTAAAATGCATATGAACATTTTGATCTGAATTAATTCTATAAAGCAACTCAGCAAATCCAGTCCCCATAAAGGAGCCATATGATACATCTGGGATTTGATGAGTGCTCAGTGCTAGTCTAGTACTCGTTCTTTTGAGCTTTCTCAGGGAAGGAGTAGGAAATTAGATCTGCGTTTCAGCAACATATCTACATGTTAGAGACCTTCAGGAGAACTTAGGAGAAACACCTGCCTTCATATACCAATCACAACAGAGAGACGTGTCTCAGTGACAGAAAGCAGGTTACAAGGAACTGAAATGCTGTTTACCTCAAAAAGCCAATTTACTGTAGGTAGAAGGTCAACTCAAGGATAAAATCAAAACAACTTGAAGGTGAGGCTTAAATACCTCAGCACTTCTAGCACAATAAATCAATTGTTATCAGTTTTTTTTTTTTTTTTTAACAGCTATCTGCAGGGTCAAAGACCCAAAAACAAAGTAAACCAATGACAAGGACAAGTATTGTTCTGGAGCCTCGAGAAGTGATGATTAAAAGAAAAATGTTTCATAGAATTCTAAGTAAAACTTAAAACTTTACACGCCTGCAACGTATTTAACTTTTTTTTACCCAGATATGTCAATATCTTTATTCAGTTTCTGTCACTAATAGGGCTTACCTACTTTTGAATTCAGCTTTTACTCTTAGTTCTTTTTATTAACAGTAAACTGCAACAATTTAACTTTCCTTTTAAGATTATACCAGTATTTCCAAATCTAAGTCATTCCAGGGAAAGAAGGGGCTGAAACATGTCATCGGAAATCGATTATTGAAATAATCGTCAGCTAATTTAGGAAAAGATTAATCATTAACTGGAGTATAAAGACTCTAAAGCATGCCTTTGAGCAGCAATTATACCAAAAATGTAAAAAATATATGCAAACATTTTGCATTTAACATAGAACAACGTTTTCGTCCGTCAATATGCTCTACCCAGAACTCCTCGTGGAAAAGTTTCAATTTTTCATCTGCTTTAATTTCATAAAAAGTATTTTTAATTAATTAATCTTAATCTTATTAATTGAAAAAATTATCGACAGATTAATTGATTTGCAAAATAATCGTTAGTCGCCTCCATAAAGAAGACAATGAAATATTTGTCAGATTTATTCCACCAAATCACCTTAGAAAGAGTAATTGTTCACCTCAACCTAGAAATTCAATCATAAAATCAATATGTTTTCTTTTTCAAAATGTAAGACAGGCAAACACTGCAAAAACAATCCAGAAATAAGTAAAAAATGGCTTAAATTAAGTATATTTAGCCTTAATTTGAGCAGGTAAATAAGATGATTTGCCAATGGAATGAGTATTTTCACTCTTAAAATAAGATAGTTAGATAATATTTACTTGAAATAAGACGATAAAATAGTTTTTTCTTATTTTAAAAGGAAATTGTCTTGTTCCATTGGCAAAGTGTCTTACTTATCTCCTCAAATCAAGGAAAAACACACTTATTTTAAGAAAAAATAACTTATTGAGATTTATATTTTTTGCAGTGAACAAATTAATATTTTAAACAAAACAAGCTGTAATGAGCTAATCTTGAGTTTTTCTCTGGTATACGCAGGTTTTCTAAAGAAACTCTTTATCATCCCATTGACCTTGATAGCAGGGTCCCCACTGCTTAACTCCACACTAACATTAATGTTTTTACTCGGACGGCCACTCTAATATGTTGCTTCTGAATCAGTAACAGCCATCCATCCACCTATAGTAATCATTCCAGAGTAAATACAATGTAAAATGGCAGAGTAAAAAGAACAATTCGATGGGAAAGTTTTTTTTAAACAAAAGAGATCAAAGTTCATGCTCAATGAAGCTCTAATAGTTGGATTTGGGGTTTAGATGTGGAATTTCTAATTTACAGCCGACGGCCGCCCCAATGTCACCAACTCAGTTCCGATAAACACAGAGGGCAGTGTGGGAAGGTTGCATAATTCTGTATTTGCAAGACGGATTCTGGGAAAGCTGCACTTGCAGAAATTTGGCGTAAACAACGGCACAACTTTAAACTTGTTAATTAAAGATTGAGTCTTAGCAAGAGGCGTATGCCAAAATGTCTCTTGGGTTAGGAAATGTCACAGGATTGTCCTGTTAGTCTGTGCATTGGTTGAGGACACACTAAATGGATGGAAGGTTTACTTTGCACAATCATCGTGGGCTCCCCATAAAAAAGAATTCCCTTTAAACATTTGTGTGAGCGCTGGATTTATGCCAGGATTGTGTCACGCTGGAACAAAGCCCATTCACCCACAAAACACTCTCTTACACACGAACACCCACCCAAACCCTTACACACACACACCCACCCCCGCCTACAGTGAGTTATATCTTAGGCTCAGACCATGAACAGCACAGCATGAATCACAGACACACACTGGTATGAGAAATACCACACGGCAAAGGCAAAGATAGTTTCTAAAGGAAAAATATGTCTGACCACAGAGAACCCTAAAGATGACGTACACATACAGTACATACAAAATTATCGTTTTAAATAAATAGGTCTTTTATGCTCTAATGTCATTACTTCTGTCAACTCAAGTAATTTTCCACCTCCAAATGAGCTCTACTTTGCAGACCTATGAAATTTCTTCTCCAGTGTGAACCATCATTCACAAATAAGGCAAAACGGCTGAACAAAACAACAAACACTCTGACTTGTGATGTTCTGACAACTGATAAACCAGGCATAGATATTAAGGAGAGGTTTTACATCCTGTGACACTGCTGCAAAACTGACAGAGCTTGTCAAAAAAGGGACTTCCTATCTAAATTCAAACATGGTGGTGGGGAAATATCTTGGTCTATTTTGCTGCCTCAGGAGTAGGAAAACTTCCTATAATTGTTGGAGCCATAAATTCAGCTTTATACCAGATCATCCTAAAGAAAAATATCCAGTCATCAGTCTGTGACCTCAGCTTTAAACACTTGTGTCTTGCCTGAGGACAGTTATCCAAGGCATACCAGCAAGTCTACCCTTTGAAAGGCTTAAAAATGAATAAAAGCTTTAGAGTGGCCTAGTCAATGGTTGGATTTGAATTCAATTAGGATCCTTTGCTATGACCTTAAACAGGCCCCTCATGCTTAGCAACCCTTCAATGTAGGTGAATTAAAACTATTCTGAGGTGAAGAATGTCAAACACTCCTCCACAGTGATGCAGAAAACACATCTGTGTTTACCCAGTTCACAATGGTTTAGTT